TTCTTTCTTTCTTTCTTTCTTTCTTTCTTTCTTTCTTTCTTTCTTTCCCTACTCTTCCTTTCCCTTTTCCCTCCCCCTCTTTTCCTATTATTTGTTTTTCTGTGTTTGTATTTTATACTATAAAAAACATTCTTATAAAAAAAAACATTAGAAGTTCAAACAGGATTCATCCCTTCCAGTCACCAAGGAAATGTGAGAGGCTTGGAAGCAGCATCTTCAAAGTGGAATGTGGACTGAAAAGATAAACAGAACTAAATAGTATCAAGCGTACAAACCCTTTTGGGGGGAAACTTGCAAAAGGAGAATCTTTAAGTCTATTATAGCACCAAAAAGGCAAGAATCTTTTTATGGGAGTGGCATAAAAGTTTTCTTCATGTCTGCTATTAGAACAATACTAAACCAAGGCAAGTTAATTATCTAGGAAAGCAGCAACAAGTACATTGCAATGTCCTACCCGTCAATGAATACTTCAGCTTCAACCACAACAATACAAGAGCAAACAATAGATACAAATTCAAGGTTAATCGCACCAAACTTGATTGCAGGAAATACAACTTCAGCAACAGAATGGTCAATGTCTGGAATACTCTGCCTGACTCTGTGGTTTCTTCCCCAAACTCTTTAACCTTAAACTGTCTACTATTGACCTCACCCCTTTCCTAAGAGGTCTGTAGGGGGTGTGCATAAGCGCACCAACGTGCCTACCATCCCTGTCCTATAGTTTCTTTTATTTTTTTTATTTTTCTTATATGTATCCATGTATTCATAACTATGTTTTTACTTATACCTATTATCTTGTAAGCAGTTGACAAACCAAATAAATAAATAAATAAATAAAATGTGGGGTTGTGATTCATGTCCTCACCTGCTGGTTGGAATTATCATCTTCATCTTCTGACCATGCTGGCTTGATGGGAAACAGAGGATCCCGTCTTTCGCCTCCAGCTCCCCCTGGTAAGCCTCCGTCATCTGTGGATTCATTCTCGGTGGTAGAATCATCACGTTCCCCATCAGTTAGATTCAGAAGAGAAACATTAGTGCAAGCAGAAGAACGCTTCAAATTCAGATTGGGACTTTCAGTGGTAAAATGGGGCTCGACTCTGGGTGGGAAAAGGGGATATGTTATCTTTAGATTTAGCTGTTTACTACTTTCTTTCCCATATAATATAATGCAGAGAGATTGCAGTATTGCAGCAAAAAGACTTATGACGACTCAGTGGCTAACATATTCTTTGATAAGAGCAACTCTTGGTTGATATCAGTTTTATTATCTTCTACTAGGCTTTCATGAGCAAACAAATATTGATATATGAAGATATCAAAACAATATGATATCCTGGCTCAGCTCTCCCAAATATGATGTTTTTATGTGTGTATGTTGGTCTTCAACATCCTCAATTTAAGGGATTTATGATTGATATCCTGGAATACTGTTCCGAAAAATTTGAGACTTGAATTGCAACACATTGATATAAGGTATATAGTCTTATTTATTTCATCATTTATATCCTGCCCTCAAGTCAACACTCTTTATTTATCCAATAAAATCAAACAGAACTTGTGGGGAAGGGGAGAGAGGGCAGCCTGTTCCAAAAAGAGAAAAGGCTCTCATGCCCACCATTTCTTGAAGTGGGAGAAAATCCAGAGAAACTCCTCCCAAATAGGATGTACTGTACCTATTTGGAGAAGATGGTTCATAAAGCATCATAAAGGCCTCATAGATCAAAATCAGCATTTTATACAAACAAAATTGTTAATCAATGCAGAACCACAGGACAATGGTATCCCATTGAAATGGATTGAAGTCCCAGCCAATGAGCACCAACTAGTTTTAGGACATCTTCAAAGGCAACCCATCTAAGAAAATATTGCAATAATCAATATTACTAAGGCAAGATCTCCCATCCTACAAGAAATGCAAAAGAAATACTAGACAAAATTGTGCGGTCTTCTCTGGTAAAAAATAAATAAAAATCCACCTGCTAATCAAAAAGCAGGATCTTCATTTTCACACTAGCTCCATCAACGAATGTGATCCTCTCTAAAGCTCAATTGTTTCTGAAGAAGCAGTAACACCCTCTTGCTTTGATCCAATTTCACTTTGTTTCATTCCATTCCATTCAATCCCTCACCACTCACATACTGGGAGAAAATGCATCTTCTGCTCAGCTCAGAGCTAGATATCAGGAAGATATTGTTGAACTCCAAACCAAGAAATGACCTTTCCCAGTGGTTTCATTTAAATATTAAATAGCATAGGGGAGATAATGAAGTCCTGGAGCACTATGCATAAAAATGCCCAAGGGTTTAAATTTCTTCTTTTGGCATTACCAGCTAGAATTATGAAACAGTGAACATTGCAGATTAATGCCACCCATCCCCCCACTCATACACAAATTCATCTCACAGAAAATCCAGAAAATGGTTTTTCACAATGCCTGGCCAAAGTTGTCAGCAATAACCACTGTTGTAATACCTTATTTAGATCAGATGAGATTCATTATTCATTTAGCCCAGTCAGTTGGACTACAAACATTCATTATTCTTGGCCATCTTTATGCAGACTACAAATTCTGGGAGTTGTAGTCCAACAAAATTGAGATCTGATGGGAGCAGCTCTCCATGAACTGAAGGAGAAAAAGGTGGGTTGCATAATCTTTTCCCAGAGGCCTCTCTAGATGCCTGGAACTGAATCTGAAACCATGTATAATAAGCAAAGCAGAAGTGCTACTCTGCACCCTCCCTTCCTGTAGGTTCTTACTTACTACAACCATTGCACTGAATTTCATTTCTATCCTTTCCCTTCCCAGGTCACTCACCCATGGAAAGAAACTGCTTTCTTTTTTTTGTTAAAGCCCTTGATGCTAGTAGTCTTTCCAAGCTGATCCTTACTGCTTTGGGCCCGACTCTCAATATTTGTTGGTGTGTCTCCAGCCTCGTTTATTTCCTTGGATTGCCAGATGGTCTTCACCACAATGTTGGCCATTATAGATTGGGGGTTGATATCTGGTATGAGCACAGATTTTCTTGCCTGTACCACACCAGGAAACATCTACTACCTACAAGCCAACTGGCTTTCCAGGTAGGGCAAGGATCTTCTAGTTGCTCTCATGACCTCATAATAGTTGCCATGGGGCTGCCAATCATATGACCCCATTCTTCCATCAACAATTTGCACCACCAACATTCTATGGCCTTAGTATAGCTTCAATGGAAAAAAAAACTAATCTAATGGTGTAATGTTGACATTGAAATAATTGTATTGATTGAGCAGAATAAATGTACTGTAGAATGAACTGATCTTTTATGTCTGATCCAGGAAAGCAATGTCTAGATTGAACTGCTATGCTAGACTGCAGTTTATAAGTTTTCTATGAATCATAGTTAAGCAATCAGACTTACACCACACAAAATGAGGTTCACACAGTACAATGAACCTAAACCAAAAATACATTATGGCTTAGCTATCTATATGTAGGATCAAATATTATACCGGTATAACATTTCAAACCAATGTATTTAAATGAAATTGTTTTTATGCTTTACAAATAATCTGTCTATATGACTTTTGTGTTGTTGCTGTTTCCTATCTCTTCCACAAGCCTCAAGGATATAACATCTACACAGACCTACAAAGAAAAAGTATTCATTTGCTATATATTTTCCATGTCATTTGTTTTTATTTCCCCATCCTCTGGCCATGAACTCATGAACTCTAAGGGAATTTGGGAAATAAACTTTAAGATCATACATGATTTCATTACTTCAATAAAAATTATAATCTTCTCCTCATCCTTATCCTTTTTTGTTGTTGTTGTTGCATCCAGCTAGTGTCAGCATTTGTCAGTAAAAATCATGAACTTAAAAGTCACAGCAAAGATTCTAGGTTGGGCTAAAAATGAAATTACACTATTGGATGCTACAAAAAGGGATTATTCTTTGAAAGATTTAGCTATTTGTTAAGCAAAACACATAACTTGCAAACAGTCCAAAGCATTTCGCTGATTGCTCTGGCAATGGGTTGGGTCAAATGCAATGCTAAACCAAAAACTAGTATTACCTACAGTAAATCAAAGGAAACAAAAATTTTCCTTCTTTTTGATCAACATGAGGTGACACCTAACCACAACAATTAAGCTGATACACTATGCTTAATTATTATATACTGAATGAACCACAATTGAATTGATTCACATACCACAGTATACTTAGACCTGATTTTATCAAGTTGTTCTTTCTCAACTTAACAAATTGGACATGATTGTTGTGTTTGGTATAACATGAGAAAGCATGCATGTCAACTTGAATTTCCAGATGCAATAACTATATTCACTATCATCATACACTAATATTGGTTTTACCCAAGCAAATAAAAATCTTTCTATATCTTAACATAATATGTGCACCAAGCCACTATAGGTTAAACAAGCATTAAAGCTTTCTCTTAGAATTATGCAAAATCAGATTTCTTCATTTTTTTGAAGCTGCATTCAAGGAACTTATGTAGAGAGATGAATGCATTTAAATAAATGAAGAAAGCAACAGGTAAATAAATAAGCACATTGCTATCCTAAAAGAAGAGATAAGAACCAGTTTACTCTAGTGGTTAAAGCTCCAGGCTAAAAACCAAAAGACTCAGTCACTTCAGTCCAAATCATCTCACAAGGTGGTTGTAGGAGGAAGGAGTATAAGGTATGTTTACTGCCTTCAGTTATTTATAAAAAAAATAAAGGTGGGACATAAATAAAGAAGAAGGGCCTTCTCTGTGGTGGCTCGATCTCTCTGGAACATCATTCCCCAGAGATTAGAATGCACCCCTCATTAATACTATTCTGAAAGGCACTGAAGACCTGGTTTTTCCAGCGGACCTGGGGAACCCAGAGAGGAATGGAACCAGGAGTGGGATTCAAAATTTTTAACAACCGGTTCTATGGGCATGGCTTTCGTGGTGGGCATGGCTTGGTGGTCATGTGACTGGGTGGACATGGCTTGGTGGTCATGTTATTGGCTGGATGTGGCCAACTCAATATCGCTCACATTGAGGCACGGATCTCCTCACCTGGCCTCTCATGACTGTGGGGATGCTGCAACAGTAGTAAGTGTGAAAAATGGTCATAAGTCACTTTTTTCAGTGCCTTTGTAACTTTGAATGGTCACTCCACACAAGCAAAGTACCAGCAAAGGAGGGGAAAAGAACTCCAGAGAAATTCCTGAGACAGGAAGTCTAGTCCTGCCAAGAATGCAATAAGGGTTAATGGAGAGGCAGTTTCTGTAAGCAACACCAGAATGTTTCCTTCCTGCCTTCCTTACAGGATTAGGTCAGTAATTTCTTCTAACAACCGGTTCTCTGAACTGCTTAGAATGTTAACAACTGGTTCTAGCAAATAAGTGCAAACTTGTAGAATTCCACCCCTGGATGGAACCCATCAAATGGCTAGCTTGATCCGCTGTCATTGGGGTGGGGGGTGGGAGTTGGTTTTTGTTTTTGTTTTGTTTTGTTTTTTGTTTTCCCAAATTTTGTTCTATTGTGCTTTACTAACTTATTTGATTCTTTTTGTTAGTTCTTATTGTTTTTATTTTTATTTTTTGTTTAAAATATGATTTTACATTGTGTAAGCTGCCTTGAGTCACCGTGGGCAAATAGGTGATATAAATTAAATAAATATAAAACAATAATAATAAAAACAACAATGCTTTCAGTTTCCTTAGTTTTTTTATTATTATTTTATTTTTTATTTTGTCAATTGCTTACAAGACAATAGGTATAAGTAAAAACATAGTTATGAATACATGGATACATATAAGAAAAATAAAAAATATATAAAAGAAACAATAGGACAGGGACAGTAGGCACATTGGCATGCTTATGCACGCCCCTTACAGATCTCTTAGGAAAGGAGTGAGGTCAATGGTGGACAGTCTAAGGTTAAAGTTTTTGGGGTTTGGGGAAGAAACCACAGAGTCAGGCAGAGTATTCCAGACATTGACTACTCTGTTGCTGAAGTCGTATTTCCTGCAATCAAGTTTGGTGCAGTTTACCTTGAGTTTGTATTTATTGTTTGCTCTTGTGTTGTTATGGTTGAAGCTGAAGTATTCATTGCCTGGTAAGACTTCATTAAGTCTTACATGGAAAGGCAGGAATAATGATTTATTAAACATATTGCTGAAAAAACATCCTCCAACAGGAAAAAAAAGTGATGGGGCAAAAACACCTCAAAGTAGAATTTAGAATTCTAAAATGCTGGAGAATATATAGCATTGTGGCCGATTCTAAAAAAAGGAGTCCTCAACTTATGATCACAATTGAGCCCAAAATTTTTGTTGCTCAGTAAGACATTCACAAAAGGAGGTCCCATGACTTGGAACACTGCAACCGCCATAAATATGAGTCAGTTGCCAAGTGTCTGAGTTTTAATTATATGACCGTGGGGTGATGCCGCAATGGTTGTTAGTGTGAAAAACAGTCATGTCACCTTTTCAGTGCCGTTGTAACTTTGAATGGTCACTACTATGTAAGTTGAGGACTACCTGTATATGTATGCTATTTAGTTCTCATGATACAATAATCAAATAGGTCCATTTGTAAGCCAATGAATTCTGCTCTTAAAGGAGACAGAAGGAACTGGAAGCAGCATTGCCAAATGCCTAGTTTTTTTGTAGACCAATATGACCTTAAAAATAACCTCGAAATACCCCAAAAATTTCCATCAATTGACCTCCATCCTCCAGCTCTGGGCAGGCGTGGGAATTGCGTGTGGGCCAGGCAAGCAAAGGGTAAGATGAAGTGGGAGCTGGTTCATGCCCATCAGCAGCACCGGGCTTCCCTTTGCCAGTCGGTGACTGCTTTATGGCTATGCACCGGAGTGGGATAGGCACCATCTCAGGGCAGGAGATGTGAAACTGAGCTGGTCTGGGTAAACAGCAGTGGCAGTAGACCTGCCACAAAGAGGAGGCGGCAAGAGTAAAAAATCCGGGGTGTGTGTGAAAACTTTGGCATCTGGATGTCAGGAATTCAGGAAAGGTTGAGGGATCCAAATATTAAGGAGAGGGATGTTGGAGGTTGCAAGGGTGAAACCCCCCTCCCTCTCCATTTTTGCAAAAGGTCCTTGGGAGAGGAGGTGGAAAGCGGGAAAAGAGAAAGAAGAATCTCGATTTGGAGAATGAGGGACCAGCGATGCAGCGAGAGGGGAAGAGGCTGACTGACTCAGTGCACCAGCATCATCTACACCCCTGGAATACATTTTGCAGTTATTATTCATCAGTTTGCTATATCGTCCCATATGAAAACCCTTTAAAAGTATTCAAAACAGCCCCAATTAACCTGAAAAACTAAAAATTTCCTGCAACATTTCTCCAAAACAAGCCTACATGGTGGGAAGACTGCCCAACTGGCAACTTTGAATAGAGGACAGAAACATCCGGCCATCCTTGCTCGTTATGCCTTTTTTTTCCGAAGCCAATCAGCTGAAATTTGATGATGATCCCAACGTGGACTTCTCGCCCAATAACAGATCCCAAGAACTCTTCCCCACCCAGCAGCGAGCTGCGATTCCACTTGATTTCGTAAGAACATCCCTCAAGCCTAAGAGGAAATGGGTGAGGCAGCCTTTGACTGACATTTCTTAAAATCGATCAAGACATTCAAACCGAAGGGGCATGGGGGAGGCTGGCTTAGGTGGGCTTCTTGGGAAACCATGTCCAATTGAAAATGCAGAGCTGCAGAAGAGACTTATTTGACATTAAGATTCATCGGATCCAATAGGGAGATCCGATGAATACCAATTCCGAATACCAATTAGGCTTGGAAAAGACTATTTTGAGGACCTAAATAAAATTGTGTTGAAGTATATATATCGCAAGGTAAGAAAGCGAGGATAAAGCTAAAGCTTTTGCAAGATGCCAGAACTAGAGGAGGGTTTGGCCTGCCTAATTGGGAGTTGTACTACCAAGCTGCAAATTTGATGTGGGTTAAGGAATGGATACATT